TTAGCACCTATACTTATCAGGTATTGGCCTATAATTTTCTTTCTTTGTAATATCTTTATCTAGTTTTGGAATTAGGATAATGCTGGCCTCATAAAAAGAGCTTTGGTAGTGTTTTCTCCTCTTCAATTTTTGGGCAGTTTGAGAAGGATAGTGTTAGTTTTCTTTGAATGGTTGGTAAATTCACCTGTGAAACCATCTGGTCTAAGACTTTTATTTGCTGGATGTTTTTTGATGACTGCTTCAATTTCATTAGTTGTAATCTATCTATTCAGATTTGCTGATTCTTCCTGATTCACATTTGGAAGATTGTATGTTTCTAGGAATTTATCTATTTCATCCAGGTTGTCTAGCTTGTTGGCATATCGCAGTTCATAGTATCTATACTTATAATAGAGTAATCTGCAAATTGGTTGGGACACCATTATGTAATACCAGATCAGCAGAAGGGCAGGGCAGCGAGCTACGCGTGGCAGAGAGCTACAGGAGGGCAGGGCAGCAAGCTATGAGTGGCAGAAAGGTAGTGTTTTCTCCTCTTCAATTTTTGGGCAGTTTGAGAAGGATAGTGTTAGTTTTCTTTGAATGGTTGGTAAATTCACCTGTGAAACCATCTGGTCTAAGACTTTTATTTGCTGGATGTTTTTTGATGACTGCTTCAATTTCATTAGTTGTAATCTATCTATTCAGATTTGCTGATTCTTCCTGATTCACATTTGGAAGATTGTATGTTTCTAGGAATTTATCTATTTCATCCAGGTTGTCTAGCTTGTTGGCATATCTCAGTTCATAGTATCTATACTTATAATAGAGTAATATGCAAATTGGTTGGGACACCATTATGTAATAACAGATCAGCAGAAGGGCAGGGCAGCGAGCTACGCGTGGCGGAGAGCTACAGGAGGGCAGGGCAGCGAGCTATGAGTGGCAGAGAGCTATGAGCAGTGGCGGGCAGGGCAGCCAGCTGAGGCAAGTGGCAGGAAGCTACCCGTGCAAGGATTTGTGTGCAGAGCCACTAGTTTTCTTATAATCCTTTGTATTTCTGCATTGTCAGTTGTTACTTCCCCTCTTTCATTTCTGATTTTATTTATTTTGATCCTCTTTTTCTTTCCTTGATGAGTCTGGTTAAAGATTTGTCTATCTTTTTTTATCTTTTCAAAGAACTAGTTCTTGCTTTCATTGATTTTTTTGTATATTTTTTAGTCTCTATGTTATTTGTTTCCATTCTAATCTTTATTATTGTCTTTTTTCTACTTACTCTTGGCTTTGTTGTTCTTTTCTAATTCCTTTCAGAGTAGGATTATATTGTTTATTTGAACTCTTTCTTGCTTTTTGAGGTAGCCCTGTAATGCAATGAACTTTCCTCTCAGGACGGCTTTCACTGTCCTCAGAATTTTCACTGTCCAAATCCTCTAGATTTGGAGTTGTGTTTACATTTTCATTTATCCAGATAACTTTTGATTTCTTCCTTGATCTCATTATTAACCCATTCATGTTTTTTAGCCTCCCTGTGTATGAATGTTTTCAATTTTTTTTTTAATTGTAGTTGATTTCTAGTTTTATACCATTGTGGTCAGAGAATATGTTTGATATCATTTCAATCTTCTTGAATGTATTAAGACTTATTTTGTGACCTAACATGTGGTCTATCTTTGGGAATGTATCATGTGCTCTTGAGAAGAATGTATATTCTGATGCTTTGGGATGAAATGTTCTGTAAGTATCAATTAAATCCATCTGATCTAGTGTGTCATTTAAGATCGCTCTTGCCTTGTTGATTTTTTTTGTCTGGAATATCTATCCATTGATTTCAATGGGATGTTAAAATTCCCTGTGACTGCATTACTGTCTATCTCCTCCTTAATGTCCACCAAGATTTTCTTTATTTGTTTTCTACTATGTTGGGTGCATATATGTTTATAAAGATTATATCCTCTTGCTGGATTGATCCCTTTAGTATTATGTGGTGACCATCTTTGTCTCTTGGTATGTATGTCCTCTGCTTTGCAGTCTATTTTGTCTGATATAAGTATTGCTATCTCAGTTTTTTGTTTCCATTTGCATGGAGATATTTAAATATGTTTTTATTTATTTTAGAGAGAGAGGAAAGGAGAGGGAGAGAGAAAAAAAAACATTGATGAGAGAGAAACACAGATCAGCTACCTCCTGCATGCTCCCTAGTGGGGATTGAGCCTACAACGTGGGCATGTGCCCTGACCAGAAATCGAACCAGTGAATTCTTGGTACATGGGACATTGCTCAATCCACTGAGCCACACTGGCCGGACGGACATGCATGGAGTACTTTATTCCATCCCTTCACTTTCATTCTGTGTATCTTTTGTTCTGAAGTGGGTCTCTTGTAGACAGCATATATATGGGTCACATTTTCTTACCCTGTGTCTTTAGGCTGATCCCTTTACCATTTTTAATCAGCATCTCTGAAGAGATAATCATCTGCTTTCATAAAATCCATAAGTCATAAATCACCCCACTGGTATATCTACTATTCATATTCATATTTATTCTTTTCATTTGCCAAAGTGCAGGCTCAAGTTTGAGCTATTAGTTCAGCTATCTAGGCAGACTGAGTATTAGGCAATAGAACTTAGGCTTCAGTGGTTGCATGTTCAATTATAACAATATATCCTGGACAGAGAATACCTTTGTCATTTTTAAGATAAGAGCCATCTACAAGCTATTTTAAGTGAAGGTTGACTACAGGGTGCAAGATTCAGTTCTGGCCATACTTGACTCCTGATAGAATGCTAAGCAGTCAGGTGGTTCCCCTTTATTCTTAAGAGGAAATAAAGTTGTAGGGTTTTATTTTGAACAACATTGAATAGCAAAATGCAGAGCAAATGGTAGAATTTCATGAGTGGTACAATTGAATATTCTTTATTCTGGCCAAGGACAGAAACTGTCTATCTAGTCACAGATTGTGACCCCAAAAATGTAGTTTCTTGGCAAAGTTTAAGTTTTCTCTAGGTGTTATATGTATGTCTCTGTTCAACTCATTTGGGTTAGAGGTATTTGGAGTCTTCAGGTAAACTACTTAGACCAGCAAACACAGCAGTAAATTGTCTACATATTGATACATGGATGGACTCATGGAAAAAAATGAAATCAGTAAGATTATTTTTTAGACATTTAGAGCAGTATAAAGATGATTTTAAATGTCCCTGAACTTTAAACATCTAGGTACATTAATTTTCCCATTAAAAAGTAAATACTGACTATCCTTATATGATGGTATACTAAAGAAGGCTGCACATATTTTAGTATATATATTATAGTATATATTGCCAAATCCAATGGACTCTTATCAGCAATAAATCAAATATTTTATTTTCATGCCATATTTGCCAGCATTGGATTTTCTCATTAAAAAGGAAAGGGCTGATTTCATGGGTGAAAGTGGCATTTCATTTTTGCTTTGACTTCTATATTGGTGAGGGTGAATATTTCTTTATGTAGGTTCTTAGCCAGTGAATTTTCTTTTTTGTGAATTTATATATGTCTTTGGCCCATTTAGCTATAGGATGATGGCTTACAAGTTAAATTATTGTTCATGAGTTAGTTTATATTAGTATCACTAATTTACAGATTATATTAGGCATAATCCCCAGTCACTCAATTTTACTGAGAAATCTTCTCCCCTGTTCTTTGTTTGTTATACTGAGGCATTTTTAAAACAGAAATTTCAGATTTTTATGAACACAAACTTAAATCTGTTGATTTTTCATTGATTTAACACATAGTTCTTCCTCATCCAAAAATTGACTAATGTTCACTTAAATTTCTTAGAGATATTTGTGGGGTTTTATATTTCATTCCTCGATCTACCTGGGATCCTATGAATTTTTTATGTAAATAAGACTGTTTATCTCCCTAACCCAGTACTATGCAGACTCAGAATGTTTATCTTTTTTATTTGACAGGGATTAACCAATTAACAAATTCATCACTTTGATACATTAATTTTATTTTTCTCAATATTAATCCAGTAAACATTGTTCTGAGGGTACTATACTAATCAATTTTTGAACTTTTTAATAATAATTTTTGTTGTACAGAGATTTGCATGTTTGTGTGTGTGTGTTTCAGATGGATAAGTTTGCTGAAATGTATTAGTGTGGTAAAGTAACTGTATTTTAAAAATAATCACTACTGCCCAGCCAGCATGGCTCAGTGGTGGCCTATGAACCTGGAGGTCACAGTTTGATTCTGGTCAGGGCACATGCCCAGGTTGTGGGCTCAATCCCCAGTAGGAGAAGGAAGATGATCAATGATTCTTTCTCATCATTGATGTTTCTATCTCTCTTTCCTTCTCCCTTCCTCTCTGAAATAAATTTTAAAATTTTTTTTAAATCACTACTTATTTCTTATTTTAAAAGTTATACATATATGCACATTGTGTGTGTATATACATGTACACATATGCACATATATTCATTTTAGAAAATAAGAAAATACAGAGAAGACAAAAAAGTCTCCATATTGCCACCACTTACCTAAAAGTTGATATAATATGTTCATCTTTTTCTATCATACATATACAAGAAATCATACCATATGTTTTCTTTGCATTTATTTATTTAAATAGTGCTTAGGTAGATTATAATAACCAGATAATTACCTAAAAGATGTGTGCATTCAGAAGTAGATCTAGATAAAAACCACATATTACTGTGAATTAATGATTTGGAACAAATTTACTTAAAGTTAATTTATCATCTAATTTCTTTTTCGGGTAGCTTAAGCAATGTCTATTTATAGTATAGGCCAATTAGAGTGGCTAAGTACAACTTTGTGGGTTATTTGAAAACCATCAGTGGGTTAGATATGACTTGGAATGTACATAACCTCATATTTCCTGACTCCCCTAAAAGGTGCTAAGTGAGATACCAATGAATAAAAGGTAATAACCATTTTAGGTTATTCCTAGAAAATGGTTTTTGTTGGTGTCATGTGGATATATGTAAGATAGGTGTCCATCTTTCTTAGGAAGTTGTGCGGTTCCTGGATACCAAGCATCGAAACCACTATCAAGTCTACAATCTTTGCAGTATGTACATGACTGGATATGTAACTACTATAGATAGAAAATAGATTACTACATATAAGAAGATGATTCAATTTTTACATTTCATTTAATCATAAGCATGTGGTGGTGGTGGGAAGTGAGTGAAAAAAATCTCCATCTTGTGCTGGGCTGAGTTGGTGGGGCAGGCAGGAGGCTGAAGTGGAGGTGGAGCCATGTAAGGAAGAGTCTACTGTAATGGTGTTAGGTTTAGGAAAATATTTGTTTTTCTTGCCAGTTTGTGTTTTGAAGACAGACAATTCAACCAATGTGTTCTCTAACCCACTAAAGGTGGAGTGTGAGAAGAGCAGGGCTCTACACAAAAACCAAAACCTTGTAAAAAACATTATATTCTAGTTTACTACTTTGTTTCTTTTGATTTTTTTTTTCTCTTCCTGTATATTAGACATTTTCAGGAGGCATTTTTGTTGGCCACATTTGCTTCTGCTCTCTGATGTCTAACTACCCTAGCACAATGTAATGAGTAGCCTGTTAAGTGAAAGGTTCGGAGTGGGCGGGGGGAGCACCTATGACATGAGGCCATAATGTATCAAAAGCTTTTATTTCAGGCACCTGGGTGCAGGTGGGCTGAGTCCAACAAAGGGATCAGCAGAGACTGAAGGAAGAGAAAGTTTTTTATTAATCACTAGAGGCCCGGTACATGGATTTGTGCACCGGTGGGGTCCCTGGTAGTGGGGGGGTGGGGGAGTGTGGTGAGGGGGGAATCAGGCCAAAATCGGCAGTCCAACATCCCCCGAGTGATGTAGTAGTGCACAAAGTGAGGCTTGCTGCCACTCTGCTGCAGTCTCCACACCTGTCCTAGGGCGATACCAGCACACCCATGACTGAGAAGCAGTCACAGGCTCATGCCCAATCAGTCCTGATGCTGCCCAGGTCCGGATGGGGGAGGGGCATGCAGGGGGAGTGCCTGCGGGAGAGGCTAGTGCCACCTCAGCTGCGCTTGCCAGCCCTGAGCCTGGCGTCTGGCGCCCATTGGTCAGCTGAGCAGTGCTCCCACTGTGGGAGTGCACTGACCACCAGGGGGCAGCTCCTTCATTGAGCATCTGCCTCCTGGTGGTCAGGGTGTATCATAGCTGCTGGTCGAACGGTCGCTTAAGCTTTTATATATACAGATCGCTGGCTGCAAACCGTTCTGCTGATGTAAGGGTCTGGTCCGTCCTTGGTTCCTCCCAATGCCAGGTGTCTTCTGGTTATATAAGCTATGCAGTGCTCAAGGCTGCAAGCTTTCTGCAAGATATCTGCTAAGCACAATAAGTTTTCTCTGCCCCAGTTTATTCTCTTTAACCCTTTCAGTTAGAAAATTAAAAGTAAGACCTGTTGAACAAATCAAAATAAGTTGGGCTTAGGTTACTCAAGATGGACAAATCACTCTACTGTCCTTATTTTTTTGAGACTCGTAAGAGTCTTTTAGTATAGCAGGAGCCAGTCAAAAGGCTCCTTTTAAGGTGAATAAATAATTTCTAAGAGAAAATTATAACATTCATAACTTGATAATTTACTGTGTTTATTAGGTATAGAGCTATGACCTATGTATCATTTATTTTAGGTGAAAGATCTTATGATCCTAAGTACTTCCATTATAGGGTCCATCGAATCATGATTGATGATCATAATGTCCCCTCTCTGAGGTAAGTTTATGCCAGTTGACTGTTAGAAGAGGGCTAAATACATTGGGCTTGATTTTTTGGAAGTCTGTTAATTCAACTAAAAATCTTACATTTGAAATCAGTGAGATGGTGGAATTTTCCAAAGAAGCACAGAATTGGATGGCTCAAGATGACAAAAACATCATAGTGATTCACTGTAAGGGAGGCAAAGGTAAAAACATTTTATCTTTTTATTTCTCTTTTTCTAAAAAATTAGAAAAATATATTAGAGTACAAGACACATACTGCTATTAATCAGTATTAATAGTTAACATTTAAAAATATTAACTTCAAGACTAAAGGAAAAAGCCCTTCTTTATACCCCCTGTTAAAATTTCACCCTACTTATATATCTAATTTCCAATCCCCTGCTCTAAGTCCATACACACCTCTCTCTTCTCTTTCTTCACCATCCAAATTTTTTTTCTCTCTGTCGTTTTGTCGTTGTTTGCTTGATTGTTGATTATATTGGGGTTTTTTTATGCTTGTTTGTGAGATTGTTTCGCTTTTTCTTTATGTTTTTTTGTTTTGTTTTGTTTTTGGTTATTTTTTTTAAGAGTAGAATGATGATTTCTATTTTTTTAAATATATTTATTGATTTTTTTTCAGAGAGGTTGATTTTTTGGAAGGGAGAGGGATAGAGAGTTAGAAACATCGATGAGAGAGAAACATCAATCAGCTGCCTCGTGCACACGTGCACACTGGGATGTGCCCACAACCAAGGTACATGCCCTTGACTGGAATAGAACCTGGAACCCTTGAGTCCACAGGCTGATGCTCTATCCCAGTGATGGCGAACCTTTTGAGCTCGGCATGTCAGCATTTTGAAAAACCCTAACTTAACTCTGGTGTTGTGTCACATATAGAAATTTTTTGATATTTGCAACCATAGTAAAACAAAGA